TATGGAAGCACGAAGGACCTGAGTGGCCAAAAATATTTTGAGAAAGAAGTACAAAGTTAGAGAACTCAGAGCACTTGTTTTATAGACTTACTACAAAGCAACATTAATCAATACTGTGTAATATTGGCACAAAAAGACAGGCACATAGATTAGGGGAACAATACATTGAAAGTTCAGAAATGGACACACACATATTAGATCAATTAATTTATAGAAATGATGCAATGAAGAAAGGATCATCTTTTCAACAAATGGCACTAGAACAAGCCCCATGTGGGGAGCAATATTCTTCAATCCTTACCTCACACCATATATACTCAAAGTGCAGCTTCAGCTTTTACTTCAGTGTAAAAGCTAAAATTGTGAAGCTCCTGGAAGAAACACGGGAGGAAATATCTACAACTTTGGGGTAGGGCTGCCAAAAAAAAATCTCTGCCCACCCAAAATTTGCAGATATTTCTTAGGTAGGACACTCAAAAACAATCCATAAAAGAAAAAGTTGATGGGTACCCTGAGCTCCATAAGACACCAATGAGAAAATGAAAAGGGAAGCCACAACCAGGGATAAAATAATGCCAAGATTTTCTGACAAAGGATTGATTCCAAAATATATAAAGAACTCTTAAAATTCATTACCAAGAAGACATATAAGGGCTGGGGCTGAAGCTCAGTGGTGGAGCACTTGCCTGGCATGTGTGAGGTGCTGGCTTCGATTCTCAGCACCATCTATAAATAAATTAATTAAGTTAAGGCCTATCAACAACTAAAAAAATATATTTAAAAAAGACATAGAAGCCAATGGAAAAGTTCAAATGACCAAAATACTCGTGAAAAAATATCCAACGCACCCTTCACCAATGGAGCAATGAGATAGCGAGGCACACCCACTAAAATGCCACAACAAAGATGGAGGATAGTCAGCAAGAATATGGAGCAACTGGAACTGTATAAGATGGTACTGTCACTTTGGAAAACTGTTTGGCCATTTCCTGTCAGTCAAACATATTCCTACATCTGATCCAGCCACCCAGCCCTAGACAATTCTGTCAGAGAAATTAAAACATCTGTCCATGAAAGAGGTGCACATGGGTGTGTATACCAGCTTTATTGAGAGCAGCCTAAAACTGGAGATAACCCACATAGGAAGTGAAGGCACAAATTGTGGTACATCCATCTAACGGAATAGGAATAAAGAGGAAAGAGGTCTTGAAATGTGCAACATGGACAAACCTCAAAAATGTCATGTTGAGCCAAAGACTCCATGCACGAAAAGCTTTGATTCCATTTACATGAAATCTACAACAGCAAAACTAATCTCTAGTGACAGAAAGCAGGGAATTGACAGAAAGCTGGGGCTGGTGGAGATGGGAAAGGTTGGTTGATCACAAAGAGGACCAGGGATCCTTCGAGGTGGTGAAAATGTTCCATAGAATAATTGTGGTCAGCACAAATGAGTTGCACAGGTGTGTTCATTTGTTAAAACTCGGTGTGCTTAAAAGTCATGCATTTTAGGATGTGCAATAAGAATTTGGAAAAATTAAAGTTGATGCTTTCTTTCTGCGGTGGAACCCTAATGGAGGCACTGGCACAACCCGCCTGGGAGTCAGGATGCACTGAGACCGCCAGGCTGTGAGGTGAGCTCTCAGAGGACGCCACAATGATGGGGGACCAGGGCTCAATGGCCAAGTCTGTTCCAGCTCTCTGTACTGTCCTTAGTCAAGTCATCTGTCTCCAGTGTCTTCAGTTCCCTCAGGCCCTTCCATTTCCCAGCCTGACAGGCCTGGTCCTGGCACTGAGGTCTAGGATTTCCCAAGAGTATGTGCTTTGGCCTGGAGAACTCAGGGATTCTGCAAATATTAACTTCTGAGCCGTTTTATAAGCAAGTGCCCTGCTTAGGTGATAAGCCAGGCACATGCCAGGTCCTGTCACTCAGCCCAGTTTTTAGTCTTACCAGTGGCTTTGTAACTGGAAATCATTCCTGTAAAAGCAGATTTTCAAATCATAATCGTCCCTGGTGATGCTCTCTAAATGCATGGCCTCTGCACTGGGTGCATTTCTTTCCTTTCTAGGGACACTAGAAGAAGATTATGAAAACATAGGCCTTTGGATCCTGGGTTTAAATCCAGGCTTTGCCTGTGGCTAGCTGTGTGACTTTGGGCAGATGTTTTAACCTTGCTGAACTTTGAGTGATGACAATACCTGTTTTATAAGAAGGTGTGAGGCTTTATTGAGACAGAGATTAGCTGTCCTCTGGGGCATCACACAGTAGTAGCTCAGGAAGCCATTTTCTGTAAGGCATGGAACATAGGCTCAAGGAAGGACCCAGTTTCTATCTTGCCCCCACTGATTTGCTGTATGACATCAGGTGAGTCACTGGACCTTTCTGACCCTCAGTTTCCTTTGGAAATCATACTTCAGGAATGGCTTTGAGGATCTGAAGAGAAAAGAGACTGCATGAGGAACTGGTTTGTAAATTTCTCTGCAATTTATGTTACCATTACCATCAACAGAATGGGATCTAGGCTGGCACAAAAGAACCTAAGGCCACTGCTGGCTCACTGTGCTAGGGGTTTGTTCTGAACAATGGGGATGGGGGTCACTTCCAAATCTGAAGCCCGTTTGCAAAAACCCCCAAGAAGATTGGCCTCACCAAAATCAGCCTCACCTGCACTCCTGGTAGCTGAAATTTCTTTTACTAGGAAATAAATGAAAGTACTCCAAGTTATAGTCAGAAGTGAGATTTAGCATACAAACGGCCTGGGGAAGAGAGAGGCATACTGCCTCACATTCTCACTAGAGTGTGAAGACTGGTATCAGATTCCTTCCAAAGAACAGATTCATATAGGAAGCCAAAAACCTGGTATCACTGAGTCCAAGAGGGTTTCCTCAGTGAGAGTCCCGGCTGAATCTTGTCCATTCTCTGGGACCATATACTTAAGAGATGATGCCCTAATTTTAGCTTACTGTCCAAGCATATGCCCTGCTCCCCACTGGGATGGTGGTGGTTGAGGTATACTTTGCCAGCCCTGCCTGCTGGGGCTCCTGAGTATTGAGGTGGGTTTCAATACTCAAACCTCTTGGCCTGGACTCAGCCCTAGCTGACCAACTTCGTCCTCCTTTCCAAAGATGCCCTTGTTCACAGCCCTCAGATTCTAACCCTGTGTGCTGTTGAGAACTATTTTCCCTTCCAATACACTAGCCAGAGTGGTCCATACCTCCTGGAACCTCTCTCTTCCTATCCCACCTGACCTCTGCTCTATCTCCAACCATAAAGCCCAAATAAACAAAAGAATCGTGAAAATGAGGTGATGTCCAAGGGGATGTCCTTCTCTTCTCCATTCCAGGTCAGAAACCTCTCAGATTTCCTCTGGGACATCAAGATACTGTACCTGGTTTCCTTACTACTACTACCATCACTATTAATAATAATCGTTAACATTAGTTAAGCATTTACTATGTGCTAGACATCATTCTAAGTGCTTTACATGTACTAACTCACTCCTCTTATGAAATAGGCACTGTTGTTCTCATTTTACAGATCAGAGACTGGTGGACAAAGCCAGTCCACCAGTAACTTGAACAAGAGCATAGAGCTAGCAAGTGGAAGGGTCAAACCTGAGTTTGTGTCCACCTATATGTCTTTGCTGTTGGGGACCCTCAAGCTTGAAATCCTGGGAAAACAAATATCACATACATACACTGGTCTTGGGGTTGGTTATATCAAATTCAACTCCTTCATTGTACAAAGGAAAAAGACTGAGGCCCTGAGACCAAGTGATCATCAGAAAGTTGGGCCCAGCCCTAAGATCTTGGCTGACAATCTTTTCCATATATTTCAGGGGAGGTCACTGCCTACAGCCCAGACATGTAATTTCCAGGGGTCATGACCTGGAAATTAGCCTGCAGCCCTTATTCCAGTCTGCAAGGGACTCCTCAGACCCTTGCACACCCCTCCCTGGTGGATTCCTAAGAGCAGCCTCTGGCAGGTCACTTGCTGGGTGTTTTCTTGCCTTTGCTGTGGTCTGACAGTAAGCTTTGTCCTGTGTGGGGGTGAAGCTCACAAAAAAAAAAAAAAAGGTGGGGGTAAAGGAAAGGTTTAAAGTCACAGATGTAGGTGATTGGAGTCAGCTTTGGGTGAAGGTCAGGAAGATGCCTTCTCATCCTTGCATGATGTCTGCCTCCACCCCAACCCCTCCAAATCCCTGCAATTCAGGGTCAGAGAAGAAGAGACTTGGAAATAATTGCCCTATAACTTTTGCTCCAAAAAGTCCCCTCGTGGTTACCGCCCACTCGGCAGGTGTCACTCCAACTGCGATCCTCCTTTTCCAACCATCCTCTGAAATGGGGTTCTCTCCCTTTCCTTCTCATTCTCCTGAGCATTCACTCGATGCCAGGTAGCGGACAGTTCCCTTCCAGTCTCCAGCTGACACCCCACCACCCACGTTCCCCATCCCTCTTGGATCAGCAAGATCCTTCAGCCTCGCAACGATCCACTCCCACCCATGCACCCAGCCCTCCAGATCTCTCCTCCGCAGGGCGAAGTCCGAGAGCACGGAAGGAATTCGAGGCAAGGACTGTGACTGGCCAGAGCCCAGGATGGGGCACACAGGGAACCCGAGTGAGAATCTAGAAAGGGCATCAGAGCGCGGGACAGACGCCTGGACAGACAGGGACAGGGGGCGCTGGGGCGGACAGGGCCAGGATCCAAAGCGAATGCAGAGCTCCGGAGTTTGGGCTGGAGTCTGACACCCATCGGGGTGAGAAAAACGGAGGCGCAAAGAGACCAAAGACTTGGATTCTAGAAAGGGTGATTTGAGTCTGAACCCGGGAAGCCGGAGACCAGCTCAGCGAACGAATTCCAGCCTCGAGGTGGTCTGGGTCCCATCAGGGAGAGGCTCTGAGTTCGAGGCCTCCCAGGGGTCAGGGACAGTGGGCAAGGGTGCGGGGAGCTGGCCCTGCCGTGGCGGGAGGGGGCGGGTCGGGACGCGGCGGGCACTGACCCGAAGTAGGCGGCGGCAGCGGCGACGGCGGGCAGCGCCAGGAGGCAGAGCGCGGCCAGGGCCAGCGTGGGCGGGGGGCGCATGGTGCCGGCGACGCGGCGCCCTCTAGCATCTCCCAGCGCCGCTCAGCACTCGCAGCGCCGCCACCTGCCGTCCGCGGGGCTTTAAACCCGGGTGGGGCGGAGCGGGAGCGGCGAGGGGAAGGAGCGGCGCGGGCGGAGCGGCCCCCAGGCGGCGAGCCCCCCGCCCCATTGGCCCCGCCGTCCTCGCCCCGCCCCGCCGCGGGTGGGGCCGCCGGCCCAGGACCGCCCCTAGCTCCTTCTTCCACCGCCCCAGGTGAGAGCTCACCTGGCGCCGCGCCCGTCCCTGGACCCGGCAGCGGAACTTGAAGCCCCTCGGACCTGGAGAGGCGGGATGGGGGTACCCAGCCGAGTAGATTCTGCCTCTCCAGGGCGGGGCGGAGGGACGCGCGATCTCTTCAAGCTCCTGGGGCGTGCGGAAAATCCGTGTTAGTTTGTCATCTTCCTGCCCAGAGGGTGCAGGTCCCCCTCCGCAGCCCGGGCACTCGCTGAAGGCAGGGCGCGGTCCTGACGCTGAGCTTCTCTCCTGTAGCGGGACAAATTCGTACCCAGTGACTGGGGAGATCCTCTTGCTGAGCAATAGGAGTCCTTGGTCAGAGGGGAGGGTGAAAGGGTGCCCTGGGTGTTTTGTTTATTTGGTTGTTTTTTTGAACGGGGAGGCAGCTTGTCACTGGCAAGGTGCATAGCGTGGGCCTCAGTGGGCATTTCACAGAATGCTGTTGATGTTTGCCAGGACAGAAATTATGATTCTGGGCAGTGTGGCAGGCAGAGCCATAGAGGGAAGAGGGACCTGCTCTCTAAGGTGTGTAGATGCCAGTAGTTCTATGCGATGGGTACCCCCAAAGCTCTGTCTTGCTTATTCTTTTTAAAAGTTTAACTCTGAGCTGGGTGCGGTGGGGCAGGCCTGTAATCCCAGCGACTTGGAAGGCTAAGACAGGAGGATCACAAGTTCAGAGCCAACCTCGGCAACTTAGTGAGACCCTGTCTCAAAATAAAAAAAGGAAAAGACTAAGGATATATCTCAGTGGTAGTGTACCCTGGGTTCAGTCTCCAATAAAAAAAAAAAAAAAAAAAAAAAGTTTAACTCCAATTCCTGTAGTGAAGTGTGCTGATCAAAGCAGAGAGTGGCACCTCTAGGAAGGAGACATACAACTAATCACCCAAGCGAGATTTAAAATGTTTTGGGAATTGAACACTAGATCAAATCAAGAAAAACAAGGCTTTACTGTGGGCATCAGCATAATTGGGGGGCTGGGAGAGGTGTTGGGAAGATAACAGTTAGGACGATAAGTAGTATTAACAGAGGAGACCCCTGCCACAGTGAGCCTCTTTGAGCTGTTTGTATTTCAAATGAGTGGAGTGACTAGAGGACTTGTTGATCTTCAACAGCTCTGCCAGCCTTATCAAATCAGAGGCTGTGTGGCCCAGTAGCATGTGCAGAGAACTGGCTTCCAATTATGTAAATTATGAGCCCCAGATATGAAACCAGAATGATGACAAATAGCTCACAGGATTTTTGTCCAGATGAGATGTCATATGCCTAGCAGGTGCTAACACTCAATACCAATGGCTGTTAATGCCTGCAGGCAGGAGCCACAGTACGGTGGAATTTACTATGAGCTTGGGAGCGGGGGGAACAGGTGTCTGATTTGTATCATTTGTTTATTTTTGTGCCATAAATGTAAATGTCCCCACTATGACCGATTTCAAGCTACCAGTGTGGTTCTTTTTTTAAAATATGTTTTTAGTTGTCAATGAACTTTATTTATTTATATGTGGTGCTGAGAATCAAACCCAGGGCCTCACACATGCTAGGCAAGCGCTCTACCACAGAGCCACAATCCCAGCCCCCAATGTGGTTCTTACTTACCAGAGTTAGGAAAAGATGTGCACAGTAGGCTCTGCAAGCCAGCTGGACCTGGCTCCAGCACACCGCTGGTTAGACCTTGAATCAAGATCAAGGAGGCTCAGAGGAGGAGGGGTCTGAGCAGCACTAGTGAGTCAGAGAGGAGGATGAGCCATGGACTGGAGTGGTGGGGGGACACCACCAAGCCCCAGCCATGTCCATGGGCACCCAAGTGTGGGTAGGTGAGAAGGGAGTGGGTCCATCATGGGCTGCCCCAGCTGCCCCTCCTGTCCTCAAGTCCATGAGCACACACCACAGGAACAGCACAGTAAGGCAGGCATGTGCAGTGTGTGGGGAGGAGGGATTTCCCCCGAGGTGACATATCTTGAAAATTTCATGAAAATTACATGTTGATGTCTGATGGGAGGCTGTGCTGCAGAGACAGTAGAGGAAACAGCAAAGATTTGATGCTTGGAGAGTGAAAAACACATAGAAAATGTTCAGATAAATGCCCTGAGTTCCCCCAGCCAATGGCATAGACCCCACTCTTGGGCTCCTTCCTTCTGAAGTTAGAATCGTACCTGAAATCTGCTGCCTGGGGTCATCCCAAACTTGCCCACAGAGCCCTCAGAGTTCTGTTCCTGCCTTCTTAGTCAACGGGCTTTACAGATGGCCCAGGTGGCAGCTCCTCATTGTTGAGAATGGGAATTCCTACAGCAGTTCCAGGGTGTGGAGCTCCAATGTGCACAAAACCCGGCTCAGTCCATGGTCTCAGTGAGGCCTCAAGTGCCCTAGGAGGCTGGGGTGATCCTTATCCCCATTGCATAGATGAGAAAACTGAGGCTGGGAGAGCTGAAATAGCTGGTGCAGGTGGCCCAGCGGTAGTCGTGGAGATAGGAGTTGAGCCCAGTCCCAGGAAAGTTGCCATGGCTCACAACTGACCGTGGCTGGCTCAGGGATGCAGAGGCACAGCCTGACTTATGGCAGTCTACGCATGATACATCCTCTCAGAGCATGGTGTACCTCCTAAGTGTCAGCCCTCAAGGGGTTCATAATATGGAGGGGGAGACGGTGGAGCAGCAGATCATCCCACGGTGGTGGTATTATGGGTTCCCTAAGGAAGGACGTAAGGAGTGGTCCTTGGTATGGCTGGTGTGCTCCCACCCTGCCCTGCCTTGCAAAGTCCTCAAGGGGCAGCCCTGAATTTTACTTCTCTCTGTCTCCAGAGCCTGGCCTAGGGTCCAGCAGATAGTAGGTGCTTAGGGAACAGCTTATAACCTTGATCTGTGGCCTTTTTATGCAGCTGCAGAGTTATGGAGTGTCATACAAACATGACACATGCTCACAGAAGCACTCCCTCCTATGCTGACACACACTCCATTGAGCACAGGTGCTTGCGCTCACACACACACACACACACACACACACACACACACACCAGCACTACAGCACAAGTCCAGATATTCAGTGACTCACAGATCCCCCCCACGTCTCCCCCAAGGATGTCTAAATTCCTAGGTAGACCCACAGCTGCTCTGTACCCACACGTCCACACAGGTCCGCGGGAGGGACATTCTTAGACATACACATGCAGCTACCTGTCTCCATGAAGCAGCCCAAGGCAGCCGCTGCTCAGGGATGCGTCTCCCCTCCTCTGTGGGTACGCACCTGCTCCCAAGTGTGCTCGTATCCATGTGCACGTGTGCACACACACACACTCACATACACGACGCATCCCTTGGAGGTCACAAGCATGGAGCGAAAGGTCTTGTAACAGTTGAATCAAATTCAGCTCCAAAGGGTATCCAGAATCCCTTTCTTCCTCCACCTGCTGCCAAACCCCAAGAACCAGCCTTCTTGGCCCCAGGTTCCTCACACCTCCAATTTCCAGCCAGAGAGCACTCAGAAAACCCCCTAAGTTCCCCCATGAGGCCATTAGTGAGTAGAAATGTGGCATTCAGGTGACTGTCTCCCTCTAGTCTCCCTCTCAGCTGCACCAGCGGAAATGGACTCTGGACCCAATTGGAAGCAGGGCAAGCAATGCCCCAACAGTTCTGAGGGAGAGCACCAGAGCCCGTGAGGTTGGTCCTGGGGAGGCCTAGATAGGATTGGTGCTGTCTGTTCACTTGTCCCTCTCCTTGTCCTTCCCCACCCTCCCTGTGACCTGGCCTTCTCTGCCAGTCATTATGACTAGTTCTCTTCTGACCACTCCATCAGTCCTGACCCCACACATTTGAGTGGTACTGGCAATACCCAGTGACCTTCATTTGTGTTCTTAGACTTTGGAGCACTGTGGGCTAGGGCATCAGTCATCATTGTCCTCATTTTACAGACAAGAACACTAAAATCCAGAAAGGTCACAGAACTCACTGGCACTTGGTGGTGGGGAACCTGATGTTTCTAGAACATGGAACTGGAATTAGACAGAAGCTATGTGAGAAAGAGGGCTTCACAATCCCTACACAGGAGACTCACAGCTGAGCCCAAAAATGACAAGGAGGGCAGAAAAAGAACAAAATGTTACAAGTGGGTGGGTGCCGTGAAGGATGAGGGTGTGGGAAAACTGTTTTTACCCTCTGTGTATTTTCCAAGTTTTCTTTTACAAGCATTTTTGATGTTTATAGCGGGGGGGGGGGGAGGCTAAAAGCAGGAGAATACACATACTTAGGACTAAATCCACGAGACACATACTTAGGAGTAAATCCGCAATGTTAGAACTTCAAACCTTAGCAGGAAAGATACTTGGGAAGGGAGTAGGGAAGTATTCTTGGAAGATGTCACCCATGGTATCCATTCATCAGTCCTTCTGTAGAAAGGGTCCCCGTCTTCTCTTGGGGAGCTCTGTCTGGAGTTGACAGAGTTCACCCCTACCATGGCAAATCCAATGGAAGCCCTGTCACCTTTATTTCTCCCCGCCTTTCTCTTCTTCCCACTCCATATTAACCCTCTAGCTTGTGTTGTGTGGGGTGTTGAATGACCATCCCTCTCTTGCCTGCTTGAGGCCTTCCGTCAGCCCTTGGTATATCCAGATTTTTGCACTTAACGAAGGACACATGCCCTTTGGCATCCCCCACCTGTCGCCAAGGCCAGCAAGCTTCCTCCTGGAGGCCTGCCTTGGCCTGCAACTTCTGCCTCTCTCTGCTCACTCATCACCTTGGTGCTAGAAACTTCACTGGCACAACTTTATTTTGTACCAGTGACTATGTTAATGCA